ATCTGATCATTGATATACACATTCTCAAACTCTTCTTATCAATCCTCATCTTTACTTAAATATACAAATTCTTACTTCCTTTTCCTTTACTATACCACATTACTATAATCCAAATATGCAACTATATCCAGATCCATTGCGGATCTGGTTATCATATCCTAACAATATCTTATAATCTTATAATCTCAGTACTTTTCATCTTATAATATCATATTCTATCTTATCTACATAATAACTCTATATCGTTTTTCCGATTCCAAACGATGAAAACTTCCTATCATTATTCAGATACGATTTCAGCTTTCTGAGATCAACTTTTGATCTTACTAGGCATTTCCTGAGGTGTCCACTCTTCATCCTGCCTGGCCAGGGCAAGTGAATAGCTATCACAATCAGGAATATCACCTTTCACTTACTTCGAAATTATCACGATCGGATTTCTACTGTATTAAACTATTCTTATTCTATTAGCAAGACAACCTATTCCTTACACCATCAGATCAGAAATTTTTCAATCTATGTTGGCATGTACATCTTTTATGACACTTTGGACTTCGATTTATGCCAAGAATCGGCTAAACCATAGCTCTAATACCATTAAATGTAACACCCCCAACCCGTATCCGACCCGGATACGAGTCCGAAGTGTCACATTGACTCTTCAAACATTTATTCGTATAAAATAGTGAGTAATTTAAAACTTTGATAACATTTAAATTACTTCAAAACGTTTACAACAGATATCAGAGTTCATACCATTTATATCTTTAGACTACATGCCAACTACACTCTGTAAACAGTACATACATTTTCTGATCTGACATTTGGTAAGGAGAACTGACCTGTCTTGCTCCGCATTACTTTATTCTTCTCGAAACCTACGTGTGAAACAATCACACGCTAAGTCGTTGACTTAGTGAGGCAATAATTAAACATATAACAATAAATTCATGAACGTGCATTCATACCATTGAATCATGACATCTCAATATGCATGTATCTATTGCATGATAACAATATATATAATCATGTCATACACACACGCAACATATCTTCTTGTATTACTTTCACTTTTCGTTTGTCTTCCAATTGCATTGCCCATGTATATTATTATCTTTATCAACATCATTATAATTCAAGCAACACATGACATATCACCCTAAGTATATACATCAAATATATCTTATACATTACATTCCATGTTATCTCTTATTAGCCCATGTGCACCTGTGAGAACTGTAGATATGTGAGTCTATTGAGGTTGTGCACCACTATGCTGTTACCACAGCTCATATAAATGTCCCGAAGGACCTATCCAGAGGTCACACAGACCCCGGTAACTATCCAGAGGTCATAAAGATCCTCGGTAACTGTCCAGAGGTCATAAAGATCCTCGGTAAACTGTCCATATGTTCCTTAGAACATAGGTATACTGTCCATATGTCTCGAAAGACATAGGTAAAACTGTCCATATGTTCCGTAGAACACAGGTAAACCCTCGACTCTTGACCCCGGTAACTATCAGAGTCATAAAGATCCTCGGTAACTGTCAGAGGTCATAAAGATCCTCGGTAAACTGTCCATATGTTCCTTAGAACATAGGTATACTGTCCATGTCTCGAAAGACTAGGTAAAACTGTCCATATGTTCCGTAGAACACAGGTAAACCCTCGACTCTTGGCATGCCAACTATACCCCTAGCTCTCATATCACATAACATGGGCATTATCATTTATAACATTCATATCACTTGTACCACAGATTGCATATTCAGGAGTCATATAGATCATGTCACATGGCTTATCATTTTCATTCATACATATATAGTTCACTTTCACATATCACATTTTCTTTTCTCCTATTTTCATATCATGTCTCTTATAACCACATATGTCTGTCTTATCTCATATCCTATAATTCTTTAGCTTATATCTTATATCACATGTTTAATCATAACTTATGTAATCACATATACTATTTATACTAGTTCACATAGCTTATTTCATTAACATGTATCACATGTACATGTCACTTTTCGTATGATTTCATAATCATCTGTCACGTAGCTTATAACACTTCTCTTGTGTTCATCTGGCATGTAACTCATTGTCATCTCTTATTCTCATATGATTCTCATACAATCATATATTCAACATATGGGAAACCGACTTGTCGCAAGTCAAATTTCCATACACAATACGTATATTCTAATAGTACGCACTCACATGGCCTCACTAGTCACTATCGATCTGTTATCTTTCCTTGATCGATCTTACTTGCCAAACGTTCCGGAGTTGCTTTATGCGTAGAATCTACATACATGTACATTTTGAGGCAATCATTAGATACCTACACATTGTAATTGGATACTAGCAACTTAAACGAACTTATTAAACCAATATTAACATTTTTCTTTAGGGGGAATCGGTTCCCTACCATGGGGGTATCGATTCCCTCAAGACATTCTGGAATTCTGTCGTTTGAAGGGGTATCGGTTCCCCTTGAATGGGTACCGATTCCCCTTGCCCAGAAATCATATTTTCAACCCGAAAATTACTTCATTTTCACTCAAACACTTCATATATCATCCCCTTTTCATTCTTAACTCTAGTACACATACTTAAACCAATCTATATTCATTTATTTCATCTTAAACCTCAAAATCCTATCTTCCATATGTAATTCAAGAATCATATCAAATTTCTATATGTTCAAAATCAAATTCTACTCCAAATCTCTTAATTTAACCATTGACAAGTCAAATTTAACTTCAAATTCTACTTATCAATTCTTTCCAAAGTTTCATATAAAAACTCCAAATCTTTAATCTCTCTTAACCCTCCATTCTTGATTTTTACTGTAACCCAAGCTTTCCTTATGTTTATCCATCAACTAAAGATCAAAACCAAACTTAAAATTCCAATAATAATCAATTAATAAAACTCTCACCTTTGCCTTGCTCTCCCACGCATGAAGAAGAAGAAAGGAGAAGAGAACTCTGGAGTTTCTCTCCATTTCCCACGTGTATATAATCCTTAATGATCAAATGACCATTTTACCCTTTATTTCCTTTAACAATTACAAAATAACCTTCATCATATGTATCCAATAATCATAGAACTATTTCATTCTTCTATTTTAGTCATCAAATTATGAAACTTTACAATTTGATCACTAACCCGGTATTGAGGATGTTACAAACAAGGGAAAATACATATAAGAAACAGAGCTACTAGAAAGAAACTCGACAGGGAGATGAATATGATGAAAAAGTAATAAAAAATATGGACACTTACAAATAGTTGAGGTTTTTCAAGTTTCCGAAGGAAGTCGGTATTTCGCAACTGAAAGTATTGTTGGAGAAATCAAGAGTCTGCAGCTTCTCTAACTTCCCAATCGTAGTCGGAATCGGACCCGAAATAGCATTATTCTGAAGCAACCTGCTAATGAAAAAAGAACAAACAAGTAATTACTTAAAAAAATGCAGGAAATTTGAGTCACAAAAAAAAGGGAAAACCCAAAAGTACATGAAAGATTAGCTAAATTTATATGCAACTTAATCAACAAAGGCAATTAACTTACACTGACTGCAGCTCACTAAGGTTCCCAATCAATGGAGATAAAGTTCCAGACAAGCTTTGACTAGGAAGGCCCTTGGTCAAGGTAGAAAAGATAGGAGTTTACAAAAATACTAGGTTTATTTTCCTATACCAGTGTGAAGTGCTATTAAAAATAGGTCAGATATGAAGAGAAGAAATACAAAAAATAAACATAGCCATCTGGAGAGCAAGTAATTATTGGTTCTTGATATATGAAAAACCAACGAAAACAAAGCAAAAAATTGGAACAAAAAGGAAACACCTTTTTTCCTTTATTTTTTCTGTTCAAGAAACAAGCAAAATATAGAAATCAAAGTTGGGTTTTTGTAGATTTGAGACACATAGACTAAAGATTAAAGATTAAGGAAGAAGAAGAAACGTACTTAAAGAGTGGAGATCAGGAAAGATCGACGCAGTAACAAGATTAAGATTAAAAAAGAGATCATATTAAGACTAAATATCCTTAATATTTAGTTAAATTACATGTTATATCTTATACAATATTAAAATTTATAAATTAGTCTCTAAAATTATACATAAATTTATAATGATCTAAAATTTAATAGATATTTAGCGGGGCGAGCTGATGCGGGACGGATGTGGGGCGGGTAATGACTCAAACCCATTACCCGCCCACTACCCGCGATGGATATCAATTTCTAAATCTACACCCGCCTACTACCCGCTAAAATTATACCTATCTCCACTCCAATTAAAACGAGTACGGTGCAAAATTCACGAAACTGTACCCATTAAACGTGAGACTTCCCCCATGCGATGCGACAATTTTTGTTGAACCGCATTTCGATTGATTTTTGATTTAGTTAGTTAATAATATTAATTATATATAAGAGAAAACCGCTGACGTGGATAGCTGCAATATTTGTAATCGGATAAGGATGGAATCTCAACCACTAATCAAATAGTAGTAATAAATTACTATTGCCATTAGTATTTTCACAACGTGCAACAAAGTACGCATCGCGCTCAACTCTAAAAGCCAAGGAAAACTCCTTTCGCCTTCATCCCATTCTACTCCACGGAATCATCCTCAACCGTCCAATGTCCAGGTGGATCCATCTTTAGCCCTTCATTTAAACGGTCCCCATCCTGAAACCAATGTCCCTTGGCCCACACACATTCAACCACCCCCAATTTCCCTAAAAGCCGGAATCCAAATCTTTATCAAATCCAGTTCAACTCCTTTTTCCCACATCAAGCGAGTATCCACTCAAACAAGACTCGCCCTGTAAGGGTATCCACGTCATCGGACATCAGAAAAACTTTTTGAAAATATTACCCTAACGCCACTACGTGAGGACCCGGTCGAGAAATTGAAGTCCACTTTTAAGTTGTAAATATTAAATATATATAGCGTAAAACCAACGCTTCCTTTTTCTATTTCAAAGCGCCCACCCTTTGTCTTCTTCCCTCCAATTCGTCCTGTTTAATTTCTCCACGTTTTAGCACCAGAAGCGGAGGTGACATAAAAGGAGCGGCTCGGTAAGAATGTCGGCGGAAGCTAGCGGCGGAGGTCAGACCGAGGACAAGAAGCCGGGCGATGCTGCTCACATTAATCTCAAAGTGAAGGGCCAGGTTTTAGTTTTATTTTCCTTCGTTTCTTCTCTCCTTTTCTTTTTATCTTTTCCATTTATTTTTTATTTGATCGTTTGTTGTGCAGGACGGCAACGAAGTGTTTTTTAGGATCAAGAGAAGCACTCAGCTGAGGAAATTGATGAATGCTTATTGCGATAGGCAGTCGGTAGATTTCAACTCGATTGCCTTCTTATTTGATGGGCGCAGGCTCCGAGGAGAGCAGACTCCCGATGAGGTAAGATTCGAATACCCTATAATTTCAAGGTAGTCTATAATGCAACATATTATTGTAAGTCTAAAAAAAACTTCAATTATCTTGTAACCTAAAAACTTATTAAGTGCTTAACTCACATTTTAAATTGAAACTTGAAGTATCACGTTTTCCTCGTCGAATTGTGTAAATATAATTATTTTGGTTATAATTCAAAAGTTATTGCCTAAAATTTCATCTAACATTCTTGATTGTAATTAAAATTATTATTAATTGTCTAACATGATAAGTTAAAATCTGTCAAAATATGGCATTAACGCATGCGATCTTAATTATTAGCAATTGAGTGACTTTTCAGTGTAGACAATGTAACATTTTAGATTAAAACTTATCTTAATTAACCTTAAGTTTCCTGCCATACAATAGTACTTCCGAAATTCCAAGATACTGAGGACCAAACGTATAAATTTACTGTGAATTTGTTTAAAGTTTTGAATAATAAATTAAAAATCTGATGTTTGGGGTAGCTTGAGATGGAGGATGGAGATGAAATCGATGCAATGCTTCACCAGACTGGAGGCGGTGGTGGAAGTCCATAGGTGGTAATTGGACCGCATATTTGAAATATGCAGAGAGAAAGAAAGCTTGGGAGGCCCCCGTTGGAGCATTACAGTGTTAGTAAACTATCATCTAATTGTTGTTATACTATATGTAATGTAAATGAAGGATCTGGAGAGCTCTTGGATTCTATCTTATTATGCACGAATATATTTGTTTGGAAATCAAGATTTTGATATTGAATTATTAACCTCTCTATATCACAATTACCAAAGTAAAGAGTTTTACCTGATAATATAATAGTAGAAAAAAATCAACATATAGGAGTGTCTGAACAATCCCAGAAATCCAAGCTGCATATAAGAATCAATGAAGAACAATTAAGAATATCAAAGTCCCTTTGCAGCCTTTACGAAGGCCAAGAGTTTAGAGCTTAATCAAAGGAGATGATGAATGTGTATAGCCTGCAAAACGATACGTGCTCTGAGAGAGAGACTTACGTATCCAATGGACATAGTGCGGTTGGGTTAAGTATCGATAAACCCAGTTAAGAATGTACAATGCTCGATATCTCACTGCAATTGTACCGAAAGACAAAGGAAATCCGTCAATTACTAATATGCATATCTAATTAAAGGAAAATTCACAGCCTTTACACGTCTACGAAGACATGAACAGGTTGATACTAAACGAAAATAACACGTTATATTTATTTAAAGTTTCATATCATGGAATCTAGTACTTGAGTGCATTTGGAATTAAGGATAGGTTGAGAGTATGTGAGAGATGAGGTGTAAATAAGGTAGTATTTGTTCAAAAAAATTCTCAGTTATTAATAACACACATTTTATAGACGTAGTTGTTCGAACTAGAGGATTTAGAAGAGAACAATATTTTTTTTTTGCCACTAAGGTCGTTTGTAGTTTATATATTTTCTTTATATTATTTATTGATAATTTGATTTCACATTCCTGTAATTTTGTACCATTAATTTTTAATATAATATTTTTTTAAAATTTGCACCCTCTACATAAAACAATGCTACATAAAATTCTGAACTTGTTTCTTCCTTTCTATGCAAAACAACATCTTACAATATGCTAACTCTCTTAGGCTCAACTCAGCAATTCGGCTTAATTGACCCAATAGGTCAGGTGGGTAAAAAGAATGGCCCATTAGACCATCTCTAAAATTAATGAAACTCGTACATAGGCATGACGAGTTTTAATAAAATATATACTTTTATTAAAAAAATTTACCATAACATGATAAATTCTAATAAAAAATATTATATTTTTTTGAAACTAGTCACGAATTTGGCGAGAATTTTTTAAAATTCTCATTAACCCATTAATAGGAGTCTATCTTGGCAATTAATTTTTTTTTAGAAAAATGTCTTTTCTTCTTCTTTCACTATATTCCAGCAAAAAAAGAGAATTTACTTTTGCCTAATGCAACTTTTCATCACTATTCTAATTAAAATAAACAAAAACAAAATAAAACCAACTATATAATAAATAAGAAAAGGTTTTCAAACTTCCTTTCATGTTTGAGACCTATATCTAAATCAGTGTCTTCACCCTAGAAAGATGAAGCCACAGTTTTACATCTCGCACTATCGGATCTAAATTTTTTAGGATGAATACACATATGTTTATAATATAAATATTTTGTATATGAATAAATATCATACAATTTTAAGGTGGACACGATAAAAATAGAGCTAAATACAATAATTGAATGAAAAAATTTTGAAATTCATAAGAAAAGATTTATATTTTAGAAAATTCGAGGGTGGGCTCACCCTAGAGGCCATATGTACATCCGCTAGTGTTCACCTCTTCACGTGAATATATGAAGATCTTGCTCGCTAAACAGTAAAATCTCATACGGTTGAAGTGCCAAGGGAAAACAAATACTAATAAGGGTATGTTTAGTTCACGGAATGTAAGATTATCTCCGGGAATAGGATTATCGGAATGTAACATTACCTAACACATTACTGGGAATGTTACATTACTGTGTTTGGTTTGTTTGGCAAGAATGTAAGATTACAATGTTTGGTTGAAAGAATAAAAGATTATTGAAATGTATATTTTACGAAATTGTTCTTGTTCTATATTTTTTAACAAGTGGAATTCTAAATATTTAAATGAAAATATTTATATAAAAATTCATGTATATACTTTTAATAAATTTATATATAATTTTTTTATAAAATTATATATAAATTGGTAGAATAAAAGAGTAAATATATCATGTATTATTTTTATTTTAATTAATATTAAATTTTATATAATTTATCTAAAAATATATTAAAATTTTACATCAACATTTAACTAAATAAGCATATGAACATTTAATAGATGAATCATTCGACTCCTACCAAAATGTACAAAGATGACTTTATTATAAGTGAATGCATTTATTTTTTAAATGTGTATAATTAAATTAAAATTTTATATATACAATTAAACAAAAATCAAAATTATATATATTATATAAAATTATAAATTAATATTTATGTATTTGTTTTGGTACATAATTAATATTTATGTATTACTTACGCATTTAACAAAATTAATGTGTAGTTTTAATAATTATTCAAAAAATCAAAATTTAATTCAAGTGATTCTTAGATAACATATCATCTTAATTTTCTTCTTCCGCCGCAATCAAGCCATAAATATGGAAAAAATTAAGGTCCCTATGAACTAGCACAATGTTCAAATCTTAATGCCTGCAACAAATAGAAAAAGAATCATATCATATTCATCCATAGATCGAGAGAGCACATCATTTCTTGAACTCGAAATGAATCGATAGTTAACAGGGTGTAATCATCATAATGATCATTGCAAACAATGATAAAAAAGTATCATCAAATTTCCAAATCTTTTTCCACTTCAGAACATAATCAAGTCAATATGTAAATAGGTTTTTTTCCCCTATCAATACATGCAAATTAAACGTTCATAACAGAAGAGCAAGTCCACGGAAAATATCTTGAGACTGTTATCACTTTAACAACTCAATTAGTTCATACAACTACCCTTAAGACTACATTCAATAAGTTCAAAATTTGAATACCAACATCTATGACGCTTCCCTTATCTATTTGTACCAAAAAAAAAAAAGGTGCTTGATCCATGAATCCTAGAGCACTTCATACAAACAACCTTAGAATGTGACATCTAACGAATTCATAATTCGAACCCCAACACCTGTAATCTATTAGTACAAAAGAGAAAAAAAATGTTTGATCCATATTATAATTGAATGCCTAAAAGATTCAAGGAAAATTCCACATATAGATAAAGAGCTTGAACATAAAACTGAAAAGAATGACAAAATTGTTCCATACCCAATGTGTTGCTATTGAATCACCTGCTCTTGGTCTCTATGGATTTGCAAATCCCACCAATCCTTTGCAAGTCAAGAGAGTGAAGTAAACGGTGAAAAAGAACATGTATTGGGAGTGGCTCGAAGGCCAACTGTGAGAATCACACATTTCTAAAAGAGCACATGTTTTGGGCCGAGCTTGTTGAACGGATTTTTTGATGAGTTCGTTGATGAACTGAGATATTACTAGGCCTAGTGCAAATAACATTACTTGAAGCTCTCTGCGGAAAATGAAATGAGAAACGAAGCCACCGAGGGAAATGAAAACGGGAACCAAAGAAACCCAGGCTAGGAAATAAAAACGGGAACCAAAGCAGTAATGGACAGCTCCTCGCAACAACTCTCGCCAAATCGAATAAGAAGATTTTGTTTCAGTCAGAAGCAAGCGGGGAGAAGGGTATTTCAGAGAACGGGACGGGAATAAACAAATACCTAAGGGAGATGGGGATTAACATTCCCAGTAAAATAGGAAAAAGATACCACTGTTTGTATTCAATTTTTACCCTCATTTGGGAATGTGACCATCCAAACGTGTGTATTTTTAACCCGAAAAAAAAGATTACTCCCAGGAATGAAATATTTCATGAACCAAACGGGGCCTAAGGAGTTCCAACAAAAATATTTGTGGCACGTTGTGTGTCTCCGGTATCAAACATGCATGGTCTGCCAATTTGACAGCCCCATTTGATTCAATTAGGATAATCAACAGCAGCAAGAGCAAGAACATGACAAGAAAGGGACATTTGTGACCGTCGATGGTGAAAAGAAGCTCGAACGTGATTTAGAAAATCCATGTGCCACTGCATCTGCATCTGTATGTCTTGGTCCATTTGCAACACACGTGCTATCCTATCTCTTCAGGGTCATTGATAAATTCTAGACTGCAGTGTTCAGTTCAAACATTTAAATGTGTGTCCTATTTTCGATATTATTCAATAATATTGTCCTGGATCACACGGATTCCTATTCATGTCCTTCTATTCAATAATGTCATTTCAAAAAATTAGTTTTTAATAGTAATATTTTGATTCGAAAAATCCAAGTTTCATTCATCAGCTAAACTGTCGATAACTGTCAGCAAAACCACACGTCGGCTTGTCATATTTTCGATCGTCCGACGTTTAAAAATATTCCTTCCTTCGCACACCCTCAATTTCTTATTTTTCTCTCGCTGCAAATGTCGAAGTGCTCCTTAACGATGACGTTTTGGTGGTCCTTTGTTTTCTCCCTCGCCACCACCGCCATCAACGTCGCTGTTGCCGATGCCGACCGGATTACTTCCACTCTCGAAGGGCCTTTCGAACCCGTAACCGCCCCCTACGACGTCAGTTTGCGCGGCAGCGCCGTCGATTTGCCCGACACTGACCCCCGTGTGCGCTGCCGCGTCAAAGGATTCTAGCCCGAGCAGATTTCGGTCTCTCTCTCCGTCAACTACGACTCTGTTTGGATCTCATGGGTCACTGGTTGCTCCTCTAAACCTTCTCTAAGCTTAACACATATGTTTCAAATTTTATATTATCAATTATTATTATTATAGCATTTATGGTTTTCTTTGGCTATAGAATCATAATTCATAAAAATCAGAATTAAAATAAAAGCATGATTTGAGTAGGATTGCATCTGCATGAACTAAACGAGTTAAAGCTTAAAGTACAAAATTACATATTAATCTTAAATGAAATAAATACTTTCCTAAGTTTGAGAATGAAATTTGAATGTCAAAGCGAAAGCAGTAAGTAAAAAGAGAATCGTGAGAATTTTGTTAGTGATTTTGGAAGTGGTTTATTTTATAGTATTTTTTTTTCCTTTGGTTGATGCCACACGAATCAGTAAGATGCCAGAAATTTTTAATCTCGCTGCATATTTGCTTTTAACTTTCTCCATTACTATTGTTATTACTCTATTGCTTGATTTTATGTGAATTATACATTGGCAAGTTTTGCAGGGGAATTCCAGATTGGCAACAATATAAAGCCATTAAAGCACAATACAATTGCAAGTTTAGTTCGTTATGGGAGGTCAAGGTTTTCATTAACTCATGAAGCCACTGGCTATTCTTTGGTGTACAATCAGCTTTACCCCTTTGAAGGTCTCCAGAATTACACTTCTGGAATCATCCACCATGTTCGTCTAACAGGTTTGAGTGGTTACCTTAGTTTAACTTAGTATAAGATAGATTTGAATTTGCAATTCAGTATGCTTGGTTCTGCTGAGCTTTTCTGTCCCAACAATGTGATCTTTGCATTTGAAGATGTCCACTGATTGGGAGAAGTTAAAAAATTAATTAAGACAATACAAAAACAAGCCTAATGAAATATTTTTGGCCTTATTCTTGTTTTACTAGATTGATTATGTATTTCCTCTTTCGATGGAGAAGATTTCGGATTCAGTTTATGATTTCAACCAGGCAGTTTTGTATTAGTAACAACAATATTGGCTTTAAATCCAATAGTATTTTTATCACCATTTTTAAATTGTTAGGTTTGGGCTGAAAATAGTGCATGAATTCTGTTAAGAAACTAGGATTAGTTTACCTGATGATTGTTGCAAGTTATTACATGATGATATGTAATTTCTTTTAGAGCTATTCCACTCTTGAAAAAATATTCTGGTTCTGAAATGCCCCTTCCCATGCAGTTTTCTACCCTATTTTGGTGAATACTTCCTACCTAACTTTTTTTATAATCTCCGTAAGGACTTGTGATTTGATCCACTGGATGAGTGTTGTACTTTCCCCCCTAATGTAGGACTAAAATCCAACACGCTATACTATTATCGTTGTGGAGATCCATCAATATCAGCCATGAGTGATATCTACCACTTCAGGACAATGCCAGTTTCTGGTCCCAGGAGCTATCCAAAGAGAATAGCAGTTGTGGGAGATCTGGGACTAACATATAATACAACCGACACTATCAGTCATTTGAAAAGGAACAAGCCTGATTTAGTTTTATTAGTTGGTGATGTAACTTATGCAAATCTTTATCTTACAAATGGTACTGGCTCAGACTGCTATGACTGCTCATTTCCACAGACTCCAATACATGAGACCTATCAGCCTCGTTGGGATTACTGGGGGAGGTCAGATGTTTCACTATTACCTCTTTTTGTCTTTGATTGCCTTTTCTTTTTCTATTTTTGGTTGTGGCTAGTAGAGAAGGGTTTGTTGAATTGCCTTCATTACGTTGGACTTTAACCGCACGAAAACTATGAACTCATGTTAATTGAATGTTTTCTGCAGGTTCATGCAGAGTTTAATTTCTGAAACTCCAATAATGGTAGTAGAAGGGAACCATGAAATAGAAAAGCAAGCTGGGAACCAGAGCTTTGTAGCTTACAGTTCACGATTTGCATTTCCTTCGGAGGAAAGCAAATCTTCATCAACATTCTACTATTCCTTTAATTCCGGGGGGATACATTTCATCATGCTAGGAGCATATGTTCCTTTTAGTAAATCAGGTACTACTGTACTTGTAAAATCATTCTACAGAGCTTTTCCATTTGATATCAAAGATAGGATTTTTTTTTTTTTTTTTACATTTTTGGTTTTGACAGTTTGCTTCTTCTTGGTATATGTTTCTGATTACCCTTGCAAATGATTCCTTTTATTAATGGTTTCTATAAATTCATGATATGAATGACTAATATAGAGTTTCAGGTGTTTTAATCTCTATGAAATCTGATAACAGGAATTCAGTATTTTACTACATTGTTATAGGAGTAAACGTATTTTCAGAGAGAGTGTTTTTCTCTTGCTATTATGAAGTATAAAAGTGATATCACTGACTCCCTAATCCCCCTTTCTCATTCAATTATTGTGTAACCTTGCTAAGACTTTTACTTATTCCTTCTGCAGAAAAGCAATACAAGTGGCTGGAGAGGGACTTAGCTAATGTCGATAGATCCGTGACTCCATGGCTGGTAGCTGCTTGGCATCCACCATGGTACAATTCATATAAAGCTCATTATAAAGAGGCAGAATGTATGAGGGTGGACATGGAAGAACTACTATACAGTTACAGTGTTGACATAGTCTTGAATGGACATGTAAGTCATGAAAACCAACTTTGGTATTTAGGTGAAAATGGACAAGGGACCAACATTATACAATCTAAGTTGAAACAGTAAAAGAACATGATCACTTGCTGCGCATGAACTAATGTTACATTTTTATCAAATCAGTTGAATTCACACATGCAGACACATACACATATATGAATATTTTTTTCTTCTTTGGGGTTTTGCCGGTTTGGAGGGGAAATCCATTCCTCATAAATCAGTATTGTCTCCAAGAAATATATTAACTTATTTTGTTCCAAATTTTACAGGTTCATGCCTATGAGAGGTCCAATCGGGTTTACAATTATACATTAGATCCATGTGGACCAGTACATATCACAGTAGGAGATGGGGGAAACCGTGAGAAAATGGCAGTTGAACATGCTGATGAAGCTGGTAACTGTCCAGAGCCATCATCTACCTATGACGAGTATATGGGTGGCTTTTGTGCAACAAACTTCACTACTGGTCCAGCAGCTGGAAAGTTTTGCTGGGACCGGCAACCTGATTTCAGTGCCTTCAGAGAAAGTAGCTTTGGTCATGGGATCTTGGAGGTATTCCTTTTTATATGTAGAAATTGCTTTTCTATGCATCTCATGAATTTGCAAAGAAAATTTGCAGGCATTGGCTTAAAGTAGGGAGCAAATTTAGAGAGAATCATTTTTCTTTTGCGGCCAATAGATAGATCCGTTAATCGGTCAATGCTTTACCAGTTAAAAGTAAAAGAAAACACAAATCATCTTTCGCAAAACAAACAGATTCTGAGTTCAATTTCAACCTGTTATCATTCTAACATGGAGTACTAACATGTTTCCAAGTTTATATTTTTTTCTTGATTTTATGTGAGCCACTCATCGGCTGCTTCTAACTTGAAACTCTTGAATGTCAGGTGAAGAATGAAACTTGGGCTCTATGGACGTGGTATCGAAACCAGGATTCAACCGGTAAGGTCGGTGATCAAATTTACATAGTGAGACAACCTGATGTGTGTCCTTCCCTTATCACACTCCCAAAAGGTTCATTTGCAGACAGTTGAGTGGCACCAGAAAGGAATAATTAAGTGCCCTTGCTGAGCTTAACTGAAGATCCAGGTACTTCCAAACACGAATAACATAGGGTGGGAGAAAAAACTCAGCTATAGTTATATGTAGAAAGAGAAACATAGAGCATCATGATATATTACTTGCAGTTTTGTCATGCTTGGCTAACTTCCCTTAACACAGTGGCAGAAGCAGGAATTTTTTTCAGGATGGGCACTTATATATTAATAACAAAAAATTTTAAAGATAAAAATACTAATAATATTTTAATTATAATAAAAAGTTTACAAAAAAAGTACAACTAAACATAAATTTTACAATTGCTCCCTTCTCGATCTCATTTTCTGATATCATTGTATAATCTTTTCATTATCTACATTATCAAATATATCTTTCTCAATAAAAATAACCAAGCAATCATTCAACCGTTTATCTCCCATACGATTACGTAGTCGATTCTTCATAAAGTGCATTGCAGATAATTTTCTTTCCACTGTTGTGGTTGCAACCGGTAAAACCTAAGTTAGCTTCAAAAGTAAATACACATGTAACACCCCAACCCATATCCAATCCAAATACGAGTCCGGGATGTCACATTGACTTTTAAAAACGATATTCTTACAAAATATCAAACATTTGAACTCATTTTAAGAAAATGCAATAATATATTATTCAATTGTGTTTGGTATAAAATTTCGTATAAAATTTTGAGGCAAAAACGTATTTATGAATAGTAAAATACGGTATGAACAGCACCATGAATAATAATGAACAATATCGTGAACAGTGCCTTGCTACAGTACCCGAATGTTAAAATTTTTATATTTTCAAAGGGAAACCGATTCCCCTACTACAGGGAACCAATACCCTGCTACAATATTGCTACAGTACTTTCGTAAAATACGTATAAACTCTTAAAATTTAAAATGTTCATTTATATACATTTACCATTTACAAAAATACGTTTAAACATTACAAAACTCGATCAGAGCGTTTCTAATACAAATCCTTTTTATTACATGCAACTAAATTCTTTCTAACAAAATACATATAATTTGATCTACATTTCTGATCTGATCTTTGGTAAGGAGAACTGACCTATCTTGTTCCTCTTTACTTCTCTTTCCGCTTTCCAAACCTACGTGTGAAACAATCACACGCTAAGTTGATGACTTAGAGAGGCATATAAACATATAATAAAAATCATAAAACATCTCACATAACAGAATACATACATGTACATATGCCAACATTATCATGATCTCTATCATATTCATACACTATTATCATTCTTATTTCTTATCTCTTGTTTATATAATCTCTTATGCTCTTATTATATATATTATGTCTCATTCTTATAACAGATACAATGACTCATAACACACACATATATCGTTTCATACAATTCATATCATATAGAAACATATATCATCATATAATTCTTGTAACATTTCATATCATCAAAAGCATATACATCATATATATTATATTTAATCTCTTTATTAGCCCATGTACACTGTTGAGAACTGAAGGTATGTGAGTACATTGAGGTTGTGCACTAATGCTGTCACCACAGCTCGTATAAGTCCCACTGAGTGGCATATGAAATTTGTCCCGAAGGACCTATGTATTTGTCCCGAAGGACCACTGTATATGTCCCGAAGGACCGCGTAAACCCTCGACTCTTGGCATGTCAACTATACCTATAGCTTTCGTAATGTATAACATGGGCATTATCATTTATACATTTCATATCACTTGTTCTTCTCTTCTGTCACATACCACATGTATGTGTAACCATATATCTCATATCATATCACATGTATCACAAGTGCATGTATTCACGTAGATAGTTTCATATGACTTATATCATTTCTCATTTGTTCATGTAAACTCACATATCATGTCATGTAACATATATCTCATCAAATAACATGTATTTCTCAAGTATATTCACATGTTACATATACTTATTCTCATATATCTAATTTCATACATATATCATTTATGCATACCTTTACTCATGAATTCATACATCATACATGCATTTGCATAGATCACATATACATAACTTAAATCATATTTTATTCACATATATTTCCCATATATACATCACCTAGCTCACTATCATATTTTCATCTCATATATCTTATACTAGATTCCTATATCATCACTTGTTTTCTTTCTACCTATTCACAATCACACTAACTTGTACTCACACCTATCATTTAACATATACACTCATAAAAATCATATAACATTTTAAGAGCCACTTCTTACCATAGTAACTCCATCACTGACTCATCACAAGCCAATGTTTTTCGATAGCATAAGTACAATTAAATTGCACTCACCTTAGCCTTGCTTTGATTCAATCATAATCCTTTGATTCAATCATAATCCTTTTATTATTCCGGAACTTGTTTAGGCTCAATATCTACATAAATATAACATTTCAAAACAATTATCAGAAGCCTAAACCTTAAACTTGATGTTAATAATTTACGCCGGTTTAATGAATCAAAATTCCATTTTTCATTTAAGGGGTATCGATACCCCAGAGGTATCGATACCCCAGGGGTATCTGTACCCCCTGCACAATCTGGATTTTTTCGTTCAAGCCCAAAAAATCACTGGTCATGCCCAAAAATTCACTATATCAACTTAAATTCTTCATCTTTCATTCTCTTTCATATTCTTAACTCAAATATACATACTTAAACTAATTTATATCCATTTATTTCATCTTAATCCTCAAAATTCTATTCTCCATATAGAAATCAATAATCATACCAAATTTTCTATGTTATCCAACCTTAATTCTAACACTTCTAACTTCTTATTCTCATAGATGACAAGTCAAATTCAACTTATCAACTCTATTTCAATATTTCATTCAATAACTCAAAATCTTCAATCTCTCATATACCTTTCATCTTGTTGTTTTAGAACAAATTAAGATTTTCTTAAACTTAATTATCATCTAATGATAAAAATCTAACCTTTAATTGAACAAATAATCAACTAATGAAGAAACTTACCTTTGCCTTTGAACTCTTACTGGAGGAGGAAGAAGAAAAGAAGAAGAAGATGAAATGTTTTCATTTTCCCACATTTTTATCTCCTATTAAAGGGGATAAAAATATCTTTCATGACAAAAGACCATTTTACCCTTTAATTCTCTTAATAATTATTATAAACTTTTAGGAAATATCTCTACATAAATCATTAAACTATTCAACTTATCCACTTTAATCACTAAATTTCGAAATTTTATAATTTAATCATTAACCCGTAATTTGGGATGTTACAACACAAATGGGTACAAAACATGTTTCATTGTCTCAATCATCTTTTATGATAAATCACTAAGTTCTTTAGATCACAAAATCTTTCATCTGAACGAACATCAACAACATATTTCTCAAGTTGACAACCAAATAATATAAAGTATATTGTAAAATATTCATAAAGATAAAATTGGGTAAGACGAATCAATTTTTTCTTATCAAAAGAAAAAAACAAGTTTCTTGGACTTGAAACATAAAGAAGCAACTATGTATTTGTCTCGTAAAACGATTATTAAACTTTTGAAGTTGTCTATCAATTACTTGATAAAATAATTTAACCTGAAAATGATGTAAATTTGAAACTTCACAAACCTTTAGATTAGAGACTTCCGGAAAATAAAAAAGGCACCCCTTTTATACATTTTTTTATGATGCACTCTAACTGGATGTTAGTTTTTCAAAAAAAAAAATCATTTAGAATTGTGTAGATCTAAATTAAAATTTCGTGGGCATTAGATAACTCCGGCCTGAAGCTAGGGGGTCCGTCGTCGGTCGTCTGATGGAGGTCGGAGGTGGTCTCGGGATATCCTTACCTACTGCGTCTGATGGAGGTAGGTATCGGTCGTCTGAAGCTAGGGTATTTTCATTTCAATTTGCTTTCTTTCCTAGTATTTTTTTGTTGCTTTATTTTCATTCAAATCTGTCCCTTTTTTTTTTCCAGTTTTTTAACATTCAATAATAAGTGTTAAATTAATCTAAATCTTTCTCTATAAACTTTGCCGCTTGAATTTATCTGGGTTAATCGGTTGATGATAGATGGGTATGGGGCAAACCCTTTCGATTCAATAAGAATTTTTAAGTTTAGCTTTGGTTTGGGCCTAATGAATAAAATTTTGGATTAAAATAAAAGTTTATTTATAAAGGATATTTTTTAGTTTTCTTTTGGGCACAAGTGAGAATTAAAGCAAGTATAAATGAATCAGGGTGGGTCTTCATAGAAAAATGGAAGATGTAATAAATGAATTTTAATTTTCAAGGTGGGCATTGACCCACAAGCATATATTACATCTGCCACTGTCTGAACATCATGTCCACTATTTATTAACAAACTAATAATGTTATTTTAAAAATATTAGAATAAATTATTTAATAACATTATTAAAATATTATATCTATAATTTTATAAATAAAAATATTATGATTATTATATTTAAAAAAAATAAAATTATTATAAATTTATATTAATTATTTTTTCAAATAATAATATTGTTAAAATATTATAAATTATAATATAAAAATATTTTATTATATTTTATGGAGTATGTATTAAATATTCAACAATTCAATAATAACATTTTTATGAAATTAGTATATAATATTAATTTTATTAATAATTTAATAAATATTATTGAAATAAAAGTATATTATTATATATCAATAAAATATAATATTATATTATTAAAATTATCAATAAATATAATTTAATCATTAATATTTTTATTAAAATGATAATAAAATAATATATTAATAGAAAATATTAATGTTTTGAGTGTTTATGTTTTGAAATGAAAAGTCCGTAAAATGACTTACGGAAAATCAGATGGTAAGTCATTTTATAGAAAATTCAAAACAAATTCAATCGATCAGGAAAATGAATTAAATTGACAATTTATTTTCGTTAACTAAACACTAGAAAATGAGAAAAATATTTTTTGAAAACACAATTACATGGAAACAAATAGACACGGGAAGATGATGTTATCAAAATATTTATGAAGCAAATCACGTGTCAGCACGTGACTAGTAATCAGACCTAGACACTTCTTCACATAAAGATACCAAAATTCATAGAATATAAATTTGTTGTTAAAAAGACGGTCTCTCGGAGCAAAAATCATTCAAACCAAAGACCGAGAACAGCTTTGCTTCTCACCCAAACAATTCATCAAATCAGGCACTACTTTACCGCTTCGGCCGAAAATAAAAATAAAGCACAGTTCCACTGCTGCTTCCTCAGTTCCTTCTTTAATCTTTATTTTGGAACATACAGACAAGAACATGATATTACTACCCATTATCCCTGGCTTAGAAAAGTTGAATCTTTATTCATAGAATTGGATTGATAAAACTGAAAGAGAGAACAAAGGACATTAGAAGATATAAAGAATTTCAAAGATGGAGTCATTGCAAAGTGGGCAGTTCCCTCGCTGAACCCAAAGCTCCCTTGAACAGACACGACAAAATGTATGCCCGCATGGAATAAACGCAGCGCCTTTATGCCTGACCATGCAAACGCAACAAGCTTGCTCCATCCCAAAGCTGCTTTCTACCGCTACTTCTTCCTCTTCCTCGTCGCTTATCACGCTGCTCAACCTGTTTGTTGGGTTGTTTCTTCTAATAATTCCATTAATGACTTCCTCAACGGCTCCTCCGCCGCTGCAGCTTGTTGGGCCTCCAATGCGGGACCATTGTTCACTGTCGTTGCCGCGGCGGTCGCTTCCTCTGCTTCTCTCAAAGACAATGCCCTCTCCTCCGCCAATATAGCCCAAAATTGGCGGTTACCATGACGCGCCGGAGAAGATTCATAGTCGTCGCTTCTGTCAACGACGTTTACGGCAGTGTTCGAGGAAGGCAAATAATTCGGATCATCGCGGTTGGTTTGTTGTCCGAACGTTCTCGACGACGGAGCGTCACTAGGCATGCTAACATCAGCCGGATTGTGCCCGACCCAAACCAAATCCCTCCCAGCCAATTGCAAGAGAGAGTTCATAACCGGCGGATCAGAAACTGGGGAACGCTCCTCTCCATCAACAACACGAGTCGAGCCATCCGGGCTAGAAAGAAACGAATCGCGCCTCGATAACTGAGTTCCATCACTATGAACAATGTCATCGGTAACCGAGGAGGTCTGAGCAGAGACTGGCCATTTGAACCGGATCTTGTCCCGAAATGCTTTCCAACTCTTCTTGTCATGGTCAAATATAACCTCCATAAGCGTTCGGTTGCGAGACGACGATTGTTGAGGCCGCTTATTAACGTTTCCCAAAATATCATCGACAGTGAAAGCGGCGGTGGCCAGAGTGGTCTGGCCATTGTCGACCGCTGACATTTGCTCGAAGAGCGTAAGTCGCCGGTTACTTGTCTCCATTGCATAAGAGTTACATAAAACAAAAAGGAAATCAAAATGAAAAAAAAAAGTATAAAACTTAATGGGAGAAAGAGAAGAGAAAGTTGATAGAACTGTTGGAAATGAGAGACTTTGTTTGGTTTTAAAATCCCAAAAGTGAATTAATAAACGTAATTAAAGGTTGAATCATGATCATATATTAACATTGGATCCCTTGAGATGGGCCTTACTGTACAAGAACGGAAACAACTGTTGTGCAAGTCACTTTTACAGCTCTTTATCAACTTCCTTCCTCAATAAAGAGGTTATACATCTTTTAAATAAGATCGGGGATGTTGTTTATGAACGCACGTCTTTATAATATTCAATCTGATTTTCTCGATTAATAAATCAAATATTAATGATTAATTAAAAAAATATCAAAAAAATATCTTATTAAAATATAATATTTTTTAATAATATCTTATGATTATAAATTAATATATTTTTTAATAATTAATAACACACTTTATTAACATAACTATTCATACATATTGTATTAAATTATTACTTAAAATACTTTTCCGTTATATCTTTCATTTTTAAAATGTTATTTAAATTATCTTGTTTTTAACATATATTAAAAATATTACTCAAAATACTATAAGATTTATGCATATGCACTTAATTTCAACAATTAGCATTGCATAAAATATTTTAGACTTGGATATATTGAATTTTATGTGCTATTAACATGTTTGTTATTCTTTGTTGAAATTCAATTTTGCTTAAGTGTAAAACCTTTAAATTCAAATATTTGTTTAGAATGCATTTTTTTAGCTGGAGTTTTTGATTTTTCAAATGCTTTTAATTTCAAATTTATCATTTACTCTCCAATGTTATTTTGAACTAAAGTTGAATTATTTTTTATATAACAAAAAGGGGGGAGAAGTATAGGTTTGAAAAATTCAATTTCTCAATGAAAAATGGGAATTGAACATTTTTTAACAATTGATATATTTTTCATTAAATATTTTATTAAGCGAGAGTTTTGCCAAAAATAATTTTTCAAATGTTTTGTTGTATCAAAAAAGGATATTGTTGAACCACTTTTTATAATATTTTGATATACCAATTTAAGGCAAAAATGTTTTTGAATTTGAATTGAATTTATTCAAAGTTTTAAAAAATAATTCAAAGTCCATTTAACTTGGAATTGAGCAAAAAATATTTTTCTGAACAAGAAGTATCGATACCTCATGAACAATATTGATATTGTTCATATGGTACCAATACCAAAGGTAAGTGAAGTATCGATGCACACTAGGTAGTATCGATACTACCAGCATTGCTCAAATTCTAGAATGTAAAAATGGTACCGATACCCAAAGGGGTACCGATACTACTTCACATGGTAGTATCGATACCATAAGTTTAGTATCGATATCGTCAGGCCCAACGGCTAGTAACGACTAGTTTTATTTAAAATTAACAAAATAGTATCGATACTCTTTATAGGAGTACCAATACCCTCTGTACTAGGCAATTTTATTTTTCAGAGAAAACATCCCAAACGGCTCTAAATTACTTCCAACGACTAAAAACGATCACAAACTCATTCTAACATATAAATACAAGTTCAAGACACTTGAAGAAGGGATAAAACACATATCCAAACAATCAAACACAAGAAAAAAGTTTTCCAATCTTTTTTTATATCTCTTGTAAATATTTGTGATTTTAGTGAGCTAAATTTATAAACACCCTACCTTTGAGAGGTTTTATTGTTTACTTATTTTTACCTTTTATAAAAAGGGATTAATTATATCTTAGCCAAATTAAAAGATAGGAGTGTAAAAGTTATCTATTGAACATTGAAAAAGAAAGAACAAATTACTGAATTTGTTAGAAAATCCTAAGTGAGTAGTTTAGGTAGTGAAAGTAGACTTGGTTGATATGTCATGTCAAACTACTATAAATCATTGTGTCAAATTTCTCTAACTTTTACTCTCCTACTCCCTAAACAAATTATTGTCATTTCACCCCTTGCAAATTTTTCAGTTAATATATGTATATTATATATGAAAAAATATGAAGAAATATAAGTATATCGTATATGGTTATAGAAAACCATTTAAATTAGAATCAAATAATATTAAAAATATTTACAATTAAATTTAAATATATACTCGAAAATTTGGCTCGACTCAAATTGAATTTTATAAACTCAAATCGACTTTAAAAAATTTCAATTAAACTTCATGTTTTAAAATATGACTCGCCAACTTCAAATTTTTTGACTCAACTCGATCAAACTCTCACCCCTAAATGAAAGTTCCTTACTCTTGGAGCGTGTGGTGCTCGAATATATAATCTCTAAATGTATTTTTAACAACCATTCATTTACTGGTGAGGTAACTTGATTTATATAATATTATTAAAATATTTTTAAACCGCTAAATATTTCAAACATCCCACAACTTTAATTTTACTTTCTGCATCCATTTTCACACATTTAGCCGATTATGTATGTTCGTATACGTTGAATTATAGGGAATCAATACATACGAAAGAAGAGGCTGCCAAAACAAAACTTGAATTCTGACGGCGATAAATTTTATGCCGCACCTCCAGTGTCTCATGGCGGACCGGGTACAAATATCATTTCCTCTATCCTTATATAACTTAATATTTTTATATTTATTACTTATCTACCACCAATTACAAGTAAAATTTTTAAACTCACATCTGCCCAAACGTTAATACATTCTTAAATTCACCCCACGTCCACTACCTACCTATACCCGCCTATACCTACCTATACCCGTCTGGTAGTAACTTCACAGATTACATAAACAACAAAATATAAAACAAACACATCAATTAAGAAACATAGTAAAATAAAAGCTTATATCATAAATAAATATATAAAGTATATTATTTTTTTCATTTAAGTACTTAAAAGTATTATTGGTTAAAATGAATATCTAAAATCATTTTAGTCAAAATAGATACCTTAACTATTTAATTTTATTTTCATCTAAATTCTAAAAAGTTAACATGCGACATTAATTAAAGAATACTTTATATACTTAAATGAAAAATATTAAATACTTTAAGTAGTTATTTTGATAAAAAAATATTTTAAATACATATTTTTGACAAAAAAAATATAACTTTAAATACTTATTTTGATTAAAAATATTTTAGATACTTAAATGAAAAAGATTATATAATTTAAGTATTTATTTACTATATAAACTTAAAATAAACCAAGGATTAATTTAGTTTATATGTTAACATTCAGTTAAATTACAAGTCGTATCTTATAAAATCTTAAGATTTATATAACAGTCTTTGAAATTATATCTAAATTTATAATAGTCCAAAATTTATATAGTGAGTAATTAGTGGACAAACGAATATGAGACAAATAGATATAGGGTGAGCAGATCTAGAACGAGTAAAATCTTAAACCTGTTATTTACTCACTAACCACAATGAATATGACTTTTTACATTTATACTCATTCACTATCAATTAAATTTATATTCATCCACACCTAAATTAGAAAAAATACAAATACAAATTACACAAAGTTATCCCCGTTTCTCATCCCTAGCTGCCTCACATCACCAAAAGCAACTTTCTTTTTTTTCAAGTCCACCTTGCTTCATTCCCAGAGTCCACCCCTTCTGGTGTTTTTTTAAAAATATATATATATATTTTTCTCAATTAATTCTTTTTTTCTTACCTTTGTTTTGTTTAAATTGTTTAATTGATCTATCTATCGTTTGAATTTTTAGAGGGCTTGATAATCGCGATCGTTGTTTGGCTTTCGAGGATCAACCATGACTCATATCCTTTTGATTTTTGTGATTTTCTTCGGTTTGATTGTAAATAAAAAGATCGGGGTATTTCTAATTTTGTTGATTCTTTAACTCAAGCTAACGCGGTAACCAGAGAGAGAAAGATCGAGAAAGGGCCCAAGCTAGATCAGGCAACAAAGGAAAAACCAAGGACAATGGTTTGACCCCTGAACAACGCCGTGAAAGGTTTCATTTTTTTTGGTATTTTATTTTAGTTTTGGTTTTTCTGATCTTTGGAATTGTGTCTTTTTTTAATGCGGCAGAGATGCAAAGGCTTTGCAAGAAAAGGCGGCAAAGAAGGCGGCGACTGGAGGGAACACTGCAGGCGGTGATGCTGGAAGTAAAAGCAAGAAATAATAACGTATCGACAGTGAGATGATTTAGGGTTGAGGGTAAAGATAATGTTATTGGTTGGTTGGTGAATCACTGAATCAGATCTTTGTGCTTTCGTATTGGTTTTCAGTGTCTTTGCTTATGTCGTTTTAAGGTTAACGAACTGCATTTGATGTGTTTGTTTAATTGGCATTCTGCAATCGTTTTCCTATGTGGTATTCAACAATCTGCTCCTTTCTATTTTAACTGTAATCATCTATTCCCCTTTACGAAAGCCTTTTCGATTGATCTTCTTGTCCAATTGATTGGTTTCCCCTTTGTTGCGTTGCCCTTGAATGGGTTTCTTGAGGGATGGTTGGGGCATGGAGGTTCGGTTTTTCTGTTACTCGGTTGTTTATGTATCATAAAATAGCCTACTTGTGGTGAAATGATGGATAATTTCATTCGAATTTATTCTGGAGCATGATTTAAGTATTCATGTTACCCCTGTCCAACTATATTCAAACATGGGTAGGGTAGAAACCTTCAAATGTCGTTTTTGATGAAACGTACTTGTATTGGATTCAATCGCTTAGATAAACTGTATTCTAGCATGACTTAAGTATTCATGTTAGACGCCCCTGTCCAACTATATTCAAACATGGGTAGGGTAGAAACCTTCGAGTATAATTTTTGGTGAAACGAACTTTTATTAGATTCCAACGCTTAAGATAATCAATGTTCAAGCATGATTTAAGTATTCATGTTAGACGGATACTTGTATTAGATTGCGGCACTTAGATAAACTGCTTTTGGTGACAGTGAGAACCTTCGAGTGTTGTTTCGGAGGGTAGAAACCTC